TTAGAAAATCTTAAAAATTTATTGATTTGAAACTCCTTTTTTATTCAAAAATTCCAAATTATGTCAAGTATTCGAAATTAAGTTTAAAATTCGGTCCGGCTCCGGTTACCGGATTGTCCATGTGTGGGTAGTTAGAGCCAAGCTCGGGGAGATGAATCTGCACTCAAATGGTTAATCCAGAAAGCATTATAGCCCTTTACGCTATACTCCCGAATTCACTCGCTTCCAAAAGAATCTGGAGCGGAAAATGTTGCTCTTAGCAGAGACATTATTAAAAATACAAAAATGTCGTTACTATGCTGGCAGACCTTAATCGGAAATCATTTTCTCCAGAGTCAATTGAGTATTTCGAACCAGACGGCGCAGTATTACTTGATTTTTGATATTTTGGTTTGCTGGGTGAGCATACATGCTCATTCATTACATACTCATGTGTATAAAAGCACACACACTCACATCATCGAAACCCCAACATTAAGCTATATATATATACGAATATATGCATTCTCTCACACACATAAACCACACTTTCTAACACAATAAAGGGATAATGAGTCTGGTTGTTGCGAGGACTGATTAACCGATGAGAGCCGTGGTTAAGATTAGAACAGAATAAATGTAAGTATAGTATAGATACGTTATATAATATATAATTTATGTAAGTAAACTTGCCTGTAGATTAGGTTAAAGTAAACGATTATTTTTCTATGGATTTGTCTAACAATTGGTATTTGTGGGTCATAGTGGATTCTAGCTCTGGTGGCGAAACATTCTATGTATATATTCTATCTACGTTTTTGTATAGCCCCCATATAACGGTACCTTCCGATATTCAATGTTTTGATGATTTCTCCCACATTTTTCCACGGATTTATCTACAAATTGGTATACATATGTAGGTCATAATAGGTTCTAGTTCGTGTGGCGAGTGGACCTATACAATGTCCACGTTTTGGTATAGCACCAATATAACGGCATGATTTTTGCCACATTTTTCCATGGATTTGTCTAAAAGTTTAAATAACTTGAATAACTCTAGCTGTTCCAATTTCCCTGAATATCCGGATGAACTTGACGTTTCATTGATTTTAACATTTATTCGTGAATTGTGAGGTGTGTTTGTGGCCGTTTTTGTTTCCTTGCAATTGTAATGTATCTCAACGCTTAGATTTGCCAAATTTCAACAAATATATGTATATTGAGAGTTGCCAAAATTTATAAAACCAAATCTTCCTCAACGGTAAACAAAAACTTAGAAAAGTCACTGTGTCACTAGTTCCAACATAATATTCGTTAAGGGTGATTTTTAAGAGCCATAGGAAAGTTAAAAAAATTGAATTTTAAAGTTTGTAGATTATTTCACGCAACTGTTGACCGCAACTGCGCCTCAAATGGTCCATCTGCTCATTTCAATTTTGTCATACTCGTTCCAACATTTCGCCCGGTATCACGCGAATAAATGTTTCTATGTTGTCATCCAATGCGTCAATTGATGCGGGTTCGTATGTGTAGGCATGAGCTTTAATAAAGCCCCACAAAAATAGCCTAAAGGCGTCATAATTTATATTTGGGCAAACAATTTAAAAACATATTTATTTGGAAATACCAAGGTCTAGGCTCATTTTTAATTTTTGTATACTAAATTTTTTTCACGACAGACAAATTGTTTCATTTTGACAAGTCGGCTGATTGCCTGCATGGTTATGCAGGGATGCGTCATTTTACTTTTCCCAGTTTTCTTGCAAAAAAAAAGAAAGAAAAATTATCTACCATACTCTCTTAGCAAAAAACCTGCTGGACAATTCCTGCAGGATTAGTAACCCTACAGACCCATTTTTGTAAAATATGTACGTGAGAAAGAAAATTCCCTCTGTACTATTTATCATACAAACATATTATATTGGCAACTCTGGTTTCTATTTCACACTTGCCTTTAACCACTCTTCCATTCTCTTTTTCTCTGTGTGTTTTTACTGTTTTCGTCATAACTAACTGTTAACAAGTCCTTCTGTCATGCCACATGACCACACCAACACAGGCACACACACAAGATTGTTTTCTGTAATGGTCTCGGCATTTATTGACTCTGAATAACCTAACAGTGGCTCTTGGTTTTTTGACGGCTTTTTGAGTTGACTTTCTTGTTGACATTCTATACATTTGTTATTGTTGTTATTTATGTGTCTTCCTTTTTGCAAAATGAGTTGGCCATTTTTTGGAAATCTAAAAGTTCAATGAGAAATGTTAGGAGGGAGTGACAGAGAGGGAGAGAGATTGTGTGTGTGTATAAATGTCCACCTCTCATTTGTATGTGTGAAGTTCCACATATTATAATGAATTTTGATAAACGCATATTTTTGTTTTATATGTCACTTTGCCCACTCCTTCGTCGTAGAACGGTAACAGTATCATCTACAGCCTCCTGTACTTTTTATACCCTCAGCCATATGGCTAGAGATGGTATATGTCATTTGATACAGGTAAAACATGCCTCATCGAAATAACGATTTGAGACCCTAAGTCCAAATCCGTTTCAGGACATTTGGAGTCGATTTAGCGATGTCCTTCCGTCTACTCTCAGAGAAAGCAACTTATTTGATCCAAGCATGGTACATCGTAATATTATTATCAAACTTAGATCGAGTTCAGGGATGGACAATATCGGTCCACTCCTTCAGGTACCTCCCCCACAAAAGGTTGAAATTTTCAAAACAAAAAATATTTTCTGCGCAGAAAGAGGAAGGATAATCCAACTTTACAAATCCTAATATTTGCATCAGTGCTATGCCATGAAGCTCATGAAGCGCGAAATTAACATCCGATTCCATTCAGACTTGGTACATCTCAATATTTCTATCAACAAAAGATCTGTTATATAAATGGTAAGGATCGGACCATTCCTTCTGGTACCTCCCCCACAAAGGGGCAAAATTCTGAATAACAAAAATTATAAAATCTGAAATAAACTTTCGATGCTCTTCATATTTCACACATCCCATAATTTCTACTACCACAACATCTACTGTAAATATGGCATATATCAGTCCACAGCTTCTGGTGCCTCCCCCACAAAGGGTCAACATTTTGAATATCCATGAAGCTCATAAAACACCAAATCAACATCCGATTCGATTCAGACTTGGTACATCTCAATATTTCCATCAACACAACGAGATTTGTTATAAAGATGGTAGATATCGGACCTTTTCTTCTGGTACCTCCCCCACAAAGTGTCAACATTCTGAACATTCATTCAACGGATTGGTATCCGAAGATTTTGGTGGCCATTGGCGCTGGAAATGAAGCGAGGAACCTCATTTTGTAACCATTCTTGGGTGGCGCATGCTGAGTGCAATGGTGCTGAGTCCTGTTGGAATGTCCAAGGTCTGCGGCCAAAATATTTGCGTGCCCAAGGCTATAATACACCCTCCAGAATATTTTCGCGATAATATTCGGCATTTATTCTCATGCCATGGTCGATCAATACGAGTGGAGAGCGACCATCGACTGTTATGGCGGTCCACACCATCGCCATTGCCGGCACTTGAGTTCTGGTGGCCAATCGAAGGTGCACACTTTCAGCTGACCTCTTAGCCAATGATCGTGTTTCATTTTGTTTGTTTACAAACTGCTGGACAACGAATGTTTTCTCATCGCAGAAAACCACTTCCTTGACGTCGGGCTACGCTACCAGTATCATGGTATCGAGCGATTGTACGAGACACAAAAGATTTATTTACATTTAAATGCTGGAGTGCTCTAACGATAGTCACTTGTGGTTTTCCAGCCAAAAATAAAGAAATCACACTATCACACTTGTATTCTATCACGAATAATTTTTTTTCTGGAATATTCTCACCAAAATGATTTTGTACGCTTGTGACGAGTGGCTTAGAAATGACAGCAGTCTGAAATTGGTTGCAGTTTCTTCATCTCACCCTGTGTAGTCCGAACTTGGCTCGTCGCAATATTTATATCATATTTATTTAGGTCAAATACGAAATGGGCAGATTTGGTCCATCTCTTCGGAACCTACTTCATAGGTTAAACATTTGAATAATCATAACAGAAGTCAAAATATATTTAAATAATCGAACATTGGCTGAGTGTATACAACTTTCGGCAAAACCGACTGATATTTTTTAACTTGTTTCATTTCGTTGTTTGAAATTCTTTAAGGAATGGAATGAGGAAAAATTATTGTTAGATCTCTCTCTTTTGTGACCTTGAATTTTGACACGAAAAAAGAGTTTAAACTCGATTATTCTTATAAAAATACCCACATGTGTCATTTCATCTTTCCAGGGGAAATAAATTAATGATAATATCTTTAGACAGCAATAAAATTATTTAATTTAAGTAAAATATATTACTTAAATTTAATTAAATTATTTTAATTATAATCGGACTGCCAATTATAAGTAAATTGCCAAATATTATTGGAAAATAATTCAAAAGGTGTCTTAGTTGCGTAGTTGGAATAATTCGGGAGAAATAATTATCTCCATACGAAGAGAAAGTATGGATTTTTATAGTTGCGTCTTTAAACAATTTTATATTGTTTTATATTTTTTAAAACATCACGTAGAGATTATATGAACACATACAATTATTCATATACCATAAATTTCAATAGTTTTCGCCATAAAACAAAAACTGTAGTTAAAACTGGTTTTTGAGTTTCTTTCATTTGAATTGATAATCTAGCTGGTCGTTACTGCTGCTGGTAATGCAGAGCATGTTCGCGATGGCTGGGCCATTTAAAGACTTGGTTCGATGTCATTTGTTTAAAGTAAAGCAAAAAAAAAAAAAAAAAAAAAAAAATTAACATTTGTGGTCTAGTTTAAATGATTAATTTGTTGGTGTTTTTTGTTTCACAACCTCCCCGCTCTTTTTCACTATTTTTAAGTAGCCAACAAGGCTGTCAATTTTCTCATTTATGTTTGTACAATTTCTAATTTGTGTCTAATTAATTTGGCTTTTTTGTTCTCTCTTTCCAGGAATATGATATACAAGATCATCGACCGTTTCTATCACTCAATCAAAGTGGCCTAAATAAACCTGATCAAATAAAATTTGCCCGCTATCTTGGACAAGGTTTACCAACGTTTACATTATTTTGCATTTATAGTAATTTTAAAAATTTGTTTTGCACAAAACGTACCGAGAAGTAAGTATCATTTAATATTACCCCTCATCTGGTTTTCATATTTTTTGCTTTTGTTTCTTTTCTGATTAGAGATACAATGTGAATTGAGTTCAATGGCTGTGAAAGTATCTTCGGTTATATTTATACAAAAAAAAATGAAAATAGTTAACAATAGTTTGCTAACTACAACCTGTAACATTTGGCAATGGAAGTTTCGATTGAAAAATTATAAAAGAGGCAATAACAAAGTGCCTCCTCCTACCTCCTTTCAACATTTGACTTTAGAGCAGTTATAATTTGATTCCAGAGGGAACGAATATATGGGAAGCGTATCCAATTCAGAATCGATTTTCACTAAATTAGACGGAGAGATTTTAATTTTATAACATTGCTATAGAGTGCATGATATCACTTCGAAAAGGATTATATTAAACAAGTAAAAAAGCAGTAAGTTCGGCCGGGCCGAACTTTGAATACCCTCCACCATTTGGAACGAATTAGAAGTACTCACAAAGAACACCTTGTATGGATTTTCAGATAATTCCATTGGAAAAAGTGGCTAAAATCATCAAAATACCGAACATAGGGGAGTACCGTTATATGGGGGATATACGATATTGTGGACCTATATAGACAATTCCGTTTCAGGGGTAAAGTGCTCACAAAGAACTCCGTGTGTGGATTTTCAGACAATACGATTGGAAAATGTGGCTAAAATCATCAAAATACCGAATATCGCGGGGTACCGTTATATGGGAGCTATACGTTATGGTTAACCTATATAGAGAATTCTCTGTCGGGGAGTAAAGTGCTCACAAAGAACGCCTTGTGTACAAAGAACCTCTTGTGACCATTCCGTTGAAAGATATGGCTAAAAACATTAAAATACCGAATATCGGGGGTACCGTTATATGAGGGCTACACGATATCGTGGATCTATATAGATAATTCTCTGCCGATGTATAAAGTACCCACAAGGAACTCCTTGTGAGGATTTTCAGACAATTCCGTTGAAAAATATGGGTAAAATCATCAAAATACCGAATATCGGGGGTACCGTTATATGGGGGATATACGATATCGTGGACTTATGTAGACAATTCTTTTTGAGGAGGTAAAATGCCCACAAGGGACTCCTTTTTGGAATTTCAGACAATTCCATTGAAAAATGTGGCAAAAATCATCAAAATACCGAATACCGTGAGGGTACCGTTACATGGGGGATGTACGATATTGTGGACCTATATAGATAATTTCCTACCGAGATATAAAGTACCCACAAGGAACTCCTTGTGTGGATTTTCAGACAATTCCGTTGAAAAATGTGGGTAAACTCATCAAAATACCGAATATAAAGTACCCACAAGGAACTCTTTGTGTGGATTTTCAGACAATTCCATTGAAAAATGTGGCTAACATCATCAAAATACCGAATATCGGGGGTACCGTTATATGGGGGCTATACGATATCGAGGACCGATATAGCCCATCTTCGAACTTGACCTGCCTGCAGACAAAAGAGAGATCTGTGCAAAATTTTAGCTTCCTATCTTAATTCGTTTAGACTGTAGCGTGATTACAACAGACGGACAGACGGACGGACAGGGCTAAATCGTCTTAGAATTTTACGCTGATCAAGAATATATATACTTTGTTGGGTCTAAAATGATTATTTCGATGAGTTACAAACGGAATGACGAACTTAATATACCCTCCATACCTTTTTTGGTGGAGGGTATAAAAATGGAAGCTATATCCAAATCTAAGCCAATCTCGATAAAATTTGGCAAATGTATTTCCAAGCTCTATAAAATATCTGGTAGCAAATATCATTGTTGTCGCATACATATTATGAATGTGAGGGACTTAAACACCAAATCCGATGAAACATATATATGGGAGCTATAGCTATATCAGAACCGATTTTCACCAAATTTGTTGTACTTGCTTCTAGACTAAATTGGGTCGGATGTGCCAAAATGCAGGTCATTTGAACTGATTTAGCCATTTAGTACACAATTAATCCGAAATCGGTTGAAGATATATATGGGAGCTATATCCAAATCTGAACCGATCTTAATAAAATTTGGCAGAGGTATTTCTGGGCTGTATCTGATACCAAATATCATTCTTGTCGAATGCATATTACGAATGTGAGGTACTTAAACACAAAATCGGATGAAACATATATATGGGAGCTATATCTAAACCGATTATCAAATCTAAAATCTATATCTAAACCGAAACCCAATTTGATGTACTTGCTTCTGGATTGAATTCGGTCGGATGTGCCAACATTAAAGGTAATTTGGACTGATATTAGCTATTTGGTGCACAATTAACCCGAAATCTGATGTAAATACTGTTTAGAAAATTTAATCTCAACGGATACTAAATGCGACCTGCATTTTGTTCACAAAAATACATGAACAGACGGACGGACGGACTGACATGTTTAAATCGACTCAGAAAGTGATTCTATGAAGATCCTCAAAAGAATCTATGGGTCTATCTCGCCCTATTGTACATGTTACAAACAAATGCACAAAGACATAATACCCTTACCACTATGTGATGGGTATAGTTATTTTCATGTAACTCTGTTAACTATAAATGTTATCTTCTATGTTAAATATGTGGTTTGTATCGGACCTGACTAGTCAAAAATATTCCAATGATATCGTCTACATCTCAATAATTGGTTCTTTATCAAAATCTGGGTCTATGTTGAAAAATTTCTGCAGAAAATACTTTCTTTTAAAATGGGTGTTTAATTGTCACGGAGCTACCTGATCCAGACTGAAAGTTGCTAAAATATATTATAAACCCATATTTAGGAGCGATTTTGTCCTTCTCGAGGATATATCCTGTCAAATTAAATATTATACCTTGCACCTGGATTCCTTGTACGGCCTTTTTTTTGATAAATTTATGTTACAATTGTACCAGTGGACTAAAGTTGGGAGAATGCGATGCCTGCGGCACCATTAGTAAACACACAAGACAAGACGCAATCTTTGTTATCCATATCCGAGAGTTGTTGGCCGATCATTTCAGCTAATTTATACATAATTTGCAGGTTATGTTCTTTATTTGTGAAAATCGATTCCAAATGTTCTGAAATAATACAGATTTATTTGAATGGTTTCAATCTCTAATCAGAAATGTTTTTATTATTTATGAAATGTTGTTTAAAATTTAACTCGGCAATCGCTAATATTCACCTCTTCCCATTTCAGCTACACAAAGGATGGCTATAATTTGCCTTATATTTTAGAGAAAACTAAGAGCTTCCTAGCAAACACTGCAGCGGGTAAGTTTGAATGAGAAAATAATACAACCGAAATATCATTATTAGGCAAGTTTAGAAATGGCACCTTATTAATGTACATTTAATAGTTTTAGAGCATTTGCCTTGATTTGCGCCACTTACAAATGAAAATAAATCTCCTCAGGATATGAAAAACAAAAAAATAGATATCAAACACATTAGGTAAAAAACATTTCAACACACATTTTGTAAAAAAAGAATAGATTATATAGTTAGCTTTGATATCCTTTTTCTTTGCATTATGTTTTGTATTTTTTATCTTCTGTTCTAAAAATTGGCCAAAACGTTTTTAATTATTTTTATTTAGAATTTATTTTTAATTATCTTCTTTTATTTTGAAACAAATTTTGGTTCTAATCAAATTGGCATAAATTATGTTTTAGGTACTGACAATCGAACTGTCCCTAGCACTAGCAACAACAATAGTAACAGTAACACAGCCACCACCACCAACACATCCTCCTCGGTGATGCCCAACTCGGTTGCAGCAGTAGTCGCGGTCAATTCCAGTAATGCAACAAATTCCCCCATCACCACTTTCAATACAAATAATAGCACCACAAGCACCTCTGTTCCTTCAAACACGAACACCACCACCTCCGCCTCGAATGACATCAATGCAGCAACAACCACGCCAGAGGAGAAGTCAACGTCTCAGCCAACGGAAGCGGCAGTAAATGCAAGCAACGGTGATTCTGCAGTCAACGGTGAAAATGCCCACGGCAATTCAAATGGTCATGTTCAAGGGAATGGCAGCGACATAACACAAACCCCAACCAAACAAACGCCCATGAATGTGCCATCTACGCCAAGGAGTTCGCATATGCTGCATCACAATCAGCAGCCAGGACAACAACAAGCGCCAACTGCCCCCACTACTCCCTTGACAGCACTTTCTCAACAACATCAGCAACAACAACATTTGGTCAATCACCAACAACATCATATTTCAAGCTTATCCCGGCCCCAAACACCAAATACACCAAATTCTCAACAGCACCACAACCTAGCGCAGCAGCAACAAGCAATGGCCCACATACACCCACATCATGTTCAACGCCCCGCAATGCCTATGAGCCCCATGATTGTGGTTAGCTCTGCCAATGTAATTCCCACATCAGTTATTGGTTCACCTTTACCTCCCACTAATGCAGCTAATCATCATCTACAACATCCTCATCCACATCACCCACAGCAGCAGCATCACCTTCCGCAAGCAGTGCTACATCATCAATCTCCCCAGCTGCACCATCAACAACATCATCCCCATCATATGCAACAACAACACCAACAACAGCCGCCAAATCATATGGTCCATCATTCGATTCAAATGTCCAACCATCAGCAGCACGTTGTCGTTCAGACCAGTAATGGGGGTGGTGCTGTTGCCGTAGGTGGCGGGTTTGTCTATCAACAACAGCCGCAGCAGCAGCAGCAACAAATGCAAAAACAGCAGCTTCATCTACAACAACAACAGCAGCCCCAGACACAACATCCTCTGCAACACATAGCTACTCAAAACCCACCCCATTAGAACAACATAATTATAAATCCCCAAAAATTATACACCACCCGCGACCCGACTATTCTCCAACACAATAACAACATGCTAGATTTATATTTTAGGTTAAAATTCAAAATTTCAAAATATACAAACATAACACACATATTTTTTTCTTGTTCTACAAAATTCGTATTTTGTCCATTGCTATTATTTGGTTCGTTTATTCTTTTGTGTAGAGCTACTGTATATGGCGTTCTAATTTCTAATTTATTGTTGTTTGTTTTTATTTCTGTTTATCCATTAAGGCAAAAAGTATGCTACACATTTAAATTTAGTATTGTATTAAGGCTATTGTTTAGTATTATTTTCACAAACCAAAACCCTCTTTAGATTATGAATACAATTTTTTCCGTTAGGAAGATGTTGAATAAGTCCCATTTTTTCCAACTGCATTATGAATAATTTTTTGTAAAAATGTTCACAAGAACTCAGCTATTTATATGGGCTATAAAGCTATTCTCAATTTTCAAACTGTATTCGTTAACCTGTAAATCATTGACAATCCCCATAACATAGAATAGCCGTATTGGAATATTTCCACCTAATCACTTTACCACTAGCCTTTGAGATAAAAAATGAGCAATTTTGACCATTTTCATTTCCAACAACAGATGATGAGACAAAAATAATCTCTGATTTTTAAAATTATTTGAACTGAATACAACTACATATGTTCTCTAATAGACTGATAGATCGACAACATATACACAGTGAATGTGAAAATAATTTAGCATCAAGACTTTCAAAATGTGTATGTGTGGGGTAGATAGGCATAATCAGCATTTCAATGTGTTCTTGTTATCGTAAATTACATGCATGTTTACTTACATATACCCCGCATAATCAACCATAGAAACAGAACGCAGAATTCTCGAAAAGCAAATGCCATTTAATGTGAATATGTATATTTAATACTTGGTCGATTTTACAAATGAGGAAGAGAAGGGAAGGTTTCAAAAGTTAAATTTTATATAAGGTATAAAGTACAACGCGACATAACATAAACGTTTACCCTGCCGCCCCATGCATATATGTATATTATTATAATATGTATAACGCAGTCATTATGTCCACGATTATGTCGATGTTGTCGTTATTATTGTTGCTGTGTGTATTTCTATGTATTATACATACCTATACACATGTATGTATGTGCAGATATTTTAATTCAAAATACACATTTCTCGAAGGCATCGGAAAAAGTTAGGACTTTTTGAAATTTGCATTTTTTGGCGGTTTTTCCTCTACAAAGCATTTTGGGTTAATGTTTTTTTTTTTTTTTTTTTTGACAAATACTTATTAGTATGCATAAATTCAGTATCATATGTGTATGTATTAGTAACGGAAACACGACATGCTTTCATTTATTTAAGTAATACAATTTTAAACAATTTGTTTTTACAATGGAAATAAAATTTTTGTTTGTAAATTAATTGAAAAAAAAGTTGTAGAGAATAAAATTTAAATAATTCGGAATAATGTACAATGTATTATTGGAAACAAAATTTTAAATCATGGTTCGAAAAGTGCGAGGGGCAAAACAAGCAACAATATTTTCAAATTAATAAAAAGAAACGTATAAATTAACAATGGACACTAGAAAATGATGCAAGACAAATCAAATTAATTAAGATATCACATGAACATAGTGCTCGAAAATAAGAATTGAAAATTTAAAGAATATTTTAAAAAAGGATTTGCATTAGATGAAAGTTTTATTTCCTATTTTTATGGCATCATTAAATCAATATGAGACATTAGATTGTTTTCAGCAGCCAAAAAGATACTCATATTTTCAATCTCAATTTTTTTATAAAAAAAATATTTTTTTAATGGACTAAAGGATGAAGCATGGTAAAATTAAGAAGTTAAAGTCATTTCAAGTCATTTCATTAAAATTTACCTTGTCAAATTTCACAGCATTAAAACTAAGTTTCCATCTCTCAATTTGTGTATTTAGAATATATATTTTGGCAATTAGATGTTGTCAAACGGATAATTTTGAAAAAAAAAAAAAATTGTAAACATATGATTGCATGACTTTACCTTCTTGATTCTACCACGGGATGAACAGTACATTAACCTTTAACTGGATAAGTGATGGTAAATTTTAGACAATCAATTTCAACTTTTTGCTTGAACTCGTAAAAACTTAGGAAACAAGTCGATTAAGAAAATCATTAAATAATTAAAAGTATTTGATATTTATTACTTCTTGATGGTGGACAAAATGATGCAATGAAAAATAAAAATAAAGTTTGTTTTTATATTCTCCACCAAACACATTCTTGATCAGCATAATATTCTAAGTCGATCTACCCCCACCCATCTGTTGCAATCATGCTATGGATTTTGCACAGATTTTGCATATAGCCTCATATAAATGTTCCTCCTCATTTAGAGTTCATAACGGGTTCTACCGTCTGTGGCAGAATGTTACCTACAAAGGTCCACGTTTTCGTTAGCTCCCAATAATTATACCTTCTATATTCAGTATTTTGATGTGAGGGATTTTACTCCTGTTTTTTATACCCTCAGCCAAATGGCTCGAGGGGGTATATATCATTTGAGACGGCCAAGACTTACCTTTCTTTGGACCTAATAAGTTTCAAGACATTTAGAGTCGATCTAGCGATGTCCGTCCGTCTGCCTAGCTGGTGCGCACGATAACTCTCGAAGGGAATATCCGAATAATCCGGTGTAAACTTGGTACATATTAAACGTAGATCGAGTTCGGAGATTGGCAATATCGGCCCACTCCTTCTGGTACCTTCTTCACAAAAGGTCGACATTTTCAAAAACAGATATTTTATTGCACAGAAAGAAAAATGATCATCCGATCCTACAATTTTGCAAATTTTAAAATTTGCATCAGGTGCGAAAATGGATTATATCGGCCACTTCATCAAGTACCTCCCCCACGAAGGGTCAAAATTTTGTATAATTATAAATCTTATAAAATGTGATGAAAGAGTCCGATTGTCTTCAAATTACACATATCGCAATATTTTTCTTTTAACCCAAGGTCTGGAATATATCGGCCCACTCCTTTTTGTACCTTCCCACATAGGGTCAAACTTTTGAATATCCATTAGGCTCATAAAACGCGAAATGAACATCCGATTCCATTCAAACTTGGCACGTCTCAATATTTCTATCAACACAAGATCTATATAAAGATGGTAGAGATCGGACAATTCCTTTAGGTATCTCCCCCACAAACGGTCAAAGTTTTGAATAACCGAAACTATTATAAAATCCGAAATAAGCATCCGATTGTTTTCATATTTCAGGACACCCCATTATTTCTACTAACAAAAGATCTGCTGTGAAGATGGCATATATCGGTCCACTCCTTCGGGTCAAAATTTTGAATATCCACGAAGCTCATAAAACGTGAAATTAACATCCGATTCCA